TAATTCCGTTGGTACAGGTACGTGTGGCGTGATATATATATATATATTATATATATAATAAATATATATATATATATATATATATATATATACAATTACATATAACCTACCTGAGTATATCGGATCTCGCCAGTATGAAGTTAAGGATGTAGCTAAATTTAATGGCCAGGAGATATTACATCATGAAATCAAATTACCGTTTACGTAATAATGAAATACTTATCATAAACGTCTGCTCGTTCTCGCTCCACTCACAAACACAGGCACACTATACATTATATTATATAATATTCATGTAAACTATACCTTAAAGGCAAAAGATGTCCTTATAGTACTGCGAATCTTGTACTATAAGCTCTCGCCTTACATGAAACGACTGACTCCTGCATCACAACGTTAAATCTACTTCGGCGAGGATGAAAATACAAATGCCTCTAACGTATACGAAGCCGTAGACTAGTGTACTAAACATATATCCGTATGGTTTCTTTGGCGAGACACGGTTCACACTAAAGGCTGCGTCTGCCGCAGCTAGCTCTGGATTCTGGCTGCCCCATATACGAATCACCACCTGTACATTCGCGTTTCTGCGCAATTTTGAAAACCGGTCGCAATTCTTCCCTGTTTGCTCAGGAGAAACTTCATTACAGTGGATGTTTCTGAATTAATATGACAACAATGACTGGCCGTGCCGTGACTAATAACTATGGCTGCCGAGGCAACAATGGAGGTGCCTGTGAGACACAACATGAGGTAATCATTGACTCACATAGAGAGCGTATACATGGCGAGCGCACTGTGGTCTAATAATTTGCCTTCACTTCAGATTTCAGTTGTACAGATTGGTTTTATCGCTTCCTCGTATACTATACACATTACAATAACGAGCGCAAAACCTTCTACTAATCTGGAGTGACAGTAAACACGGAAAACGAATCAAAGCTTGCTTATTATTGACAAAATATTAGGCTATATCACGGAAACAAAATTTATAGCCCTAAATACCACTTTATAATATATATATAATAAATAGTCACTTTAATAGCTACTCGCGAAATGCACCCCTCCGGCGGCCATATTCGCTCGTTACGCTGATGAGACTAGCTGTGTGTGTGTGTGTGTGTGTGCGGGTGCGAGTGCGTACGTGCGCGTGCGCGCGTGTATGATGTCAACCCACCTCCTCGTTATTTTCCTCTTGGTGTATATATGTTAAGCCAAAGATTCCTATTAATAGTTAACGAGTTTTCTGCAGGACGTTCCCTGATCCGATTCATTTGATGTGGAATACGTCACCCTTATCGTTAATCTAGCTATGTTCATTCAAGTACCGCATATCTATATGCCGCGTAAATATGCATGTTGTATTATAAAGATCTATTCCGGCAAGAACCGGCTTTTCCAACTGCTTAATTTGCAACACAATACATAGTAGATAATATAGGTAACCGGGGCAGATCTAGCTTTCGGGAGACGGGGGGGGGGGCTGATATTTGAGTGAAGGCGTGCGCGAAGGCACGCGGTGCTAGGGTGGTCCGGGGCATGCCCTCCTCCCACCTGTAAAACTCAGGCAGCTGTGTGGTCACAGGGGAAATCCCCAGTTTCTATCAGCCTGCAGACTGACTTTTTTAAATTTTTGGCCCTATTTTACTAGTATCATAACATTAGTCAGTGGCTGAACGGGGGGGGGGGCGCAACCCCCCTCTCGATCCGCCACTGGGTAAGATTCGTTGATGAACTACGTCTGAAAAACCAACCAATAAACCAATATGTACAGTAAGTGTAGACTCGACCCGTATATATAGCTAGCTATATAGCTACTCGTTCTGCTTTTCTAGTCGCAACCGATTTTTTACGAGATCAGCCACGGCCAAACAGCTACATATATGTAGGCCTACGTCTGCACGTCTGAACTATATATACATTTTTACCAGGGGTTAATAATGACAAATATTATTCACATATTATTTGTAATTATTCACCCCTGATTTTTACCAACGTAATATATTCTAACGTCTACTCTGATCTCAAAATTATATTAGGGGAAATCGTATAATACCAATTATTATAATATAGGGTTATTGCACAGCAGGTTTAAACAAGTTGCAATTTAAATTATGCATACTAACTGCATGATACCATCAGGCAATGTAGAACTGGAATGGGCCGAATTAACAATGTTAAATTAAGTTAAAATAAAGTTAATCAATGTTATGATCGAAGTAGCTGGTTCCTTTGTCTGTCTGTGTGTGTGTGTGTGTGTGTGTGTGTGTGTGTGTGTGTGTGTGTGTGTAAGGTCAAGGGTCACAGGTTCACATTTGATGAATGGATAGATAGATAGCTAGATAGATAGATAGATAGATAGAAAAATAGATAGATTGATAGATAGATAGATATGCGCTGAGTGCGAGCGTGCAGGTGGGGGAGGACTTGATTCCACAGCCAGCGTACCTGAACTGAATCGTGCATGTTTTCCAGGGAGATTTTCCATTCGATTTCCTAAATATGTTTTTTTTTTAACATTTAACCCAATAAATAACAAAAAAAAGTGTTAGAATCGAACCTGATGCGTAGGAATGAAGCACGAAAAATTTTAGCCGGATTCGTGCACGCGCCTAGAAGTTATGCAGGAACAAACAGAACGACACTACTCAAATTATCAGGAGATTATCATATAGATAGGAAAAAGTTTACAACACTTTGGGGGGAACCGCTGTTTTTATGTAGGTTAGCGCGTATGTAGGAGCTCGCTACGGAAGGCATTATACTCGCCTTTTAAAGGGACTATACTTGACCTAGAATAACGCCTGATTATCAGTATATCGTATTCGTGAAACACAGCCTAGTTACATATACGTGTAATCACCTTGTGAAATAATCCAACGAGCTACAATATATGATCTTGAGAAAATGCAAAGCGGACATGTAAAGCGGAAAGCAAAGATGCGAATGCAAAGCAAATGCAAGGGGATGGATTGACAGCAGACACATGTCAGGAAGCTGCAGATGCAATAACTAATATCACTGAAATGTACCAACCTGCCGTGATCGTGCGCTAACTGGCTGAGTCCACATGTGCACACCTCCAGGTCTAGCATATAGTTATCGTTCTGCGCATACGTAAAGTTGGGCTGGCTGGACGGGCGACCTTCCTTCTCTGCTTCGACTCGGTGTGGTGACTGAAACACATTCATACTGGTTAAGCACGGTAACAGCATAGCGGGAAGCGTCATAACGTCGTCACTCATTATATACTTTAGTACAGGAATTTTGCTGTAGACTAATATTAAATTATTGATTATCCACAAACTCGTACGACGGAAGCGACTGCTTGGTTGAATTCGTGTAAAATGTCGCTAGATTGTAACATGGTATACAAACACAAACACAAACACACACACACACACACACACACACACACACACACACACACACATACATACATACCAGGGGCGGATCCAGAGGGGGGGGTCGAGGGGGTCCGGACCCTCCTTTTTACCACAAAAAAAAGCAGAAGGAAAGGAAAAAAGCATACACACACACGCACGCGCGCACACACATGCATGCACGCACGCCACGCACGCACACACATACACACACAGAGACAGACACGCAGAAACACAGAACGCACGCACACACGCACACACACGCACAGTGACACACACGCACACAGTGACACACACGCACAGTGACACACACACGCGCGCATGCACGGATTGCACGCACGCACGCACGTTGAAGAGCCTTGAGTCATCCCAAACCATCATCGCCTTTATTGTCAACAAAAATGTTCTTGAGAATGTCCGCCCAATAGCCTCCAAGCTGCAGACACGGGATCTGGACATCTATTAGGCATATATGGTATGGTAGACAATACATGTGAGCGAATCACTGTTATGAGACAAGAAATAGATATAGAGTATGGGTATGAAGATGCTACACGCTTAGCCACATCTCTAGATACATCAATTTCAGTGCCAAGGTCACAGAAGTCAACCCGACAGATCTATAGGGCCAATGCCCCCAGTGAATCTCCGAAAGAGTACTACCTCAGAAACTTGGCAATCCCCTTGTGTGACCACCTGTCCACGGAGTTCCAAACTCGCTTCAACCCCAAAAGCAGAAAGGGTGTTAAAATTCTTGCTCTATACTTCCCGGTGCCATCACAACGACCGAAAATATTCAACCCATCGTGGAAGGTTTAATGTACTGGGAGGAGGATATGCCAAATGTTTTCTCACTGCGATCCGAGGTGAAGGAGTGGCAACGCTACTGGAGAGGCAGGGAGGCAATCCAGTCTTCACCCTCACCAAACTTGTCTGAGTGTCTGGAGCATGCTGACATCGACATTTTCCCAAACATCCGCACCCTGTTGAGGGTTGGTTATATACTCTACCTGTTGGAAGTTGCGAAGCAGAGCGCTCTTTCTCCTGCCTGCGACGTGTAAAAACCTATCTACGCAACAGGATGGGGGAGGATCGACTGTCTGGTCTCACAGTGATGAACATGAACCACAACATGTATATTGACTATGAACGAATCTGCCAAATGTTTATAGAACGAAACAAACGGAAGATGTTTTTCAGTTGCATACTCTACCAGTAAGCTGCCATTAGTGTCACTAATGGAGTCAAAACTGAATTCTAACTACGTACTCCACTATCAATGTCACCCTGGTTGAAATCAGCAGTGTTATAAACCGTGTCATACATAGAACAATCGTGTTCTACAGCAGCAGCTGATCATGAGCTTGTTATGTTACAAATAACGTACTGCCAAAAATCGTATCTACTCATATGTATACCATACCATGTGGTTAGTATAAGCTGCATACTCTAACAGTAAACTGCTCTCTATATGTGACTATTATGTGGAATTTGCAGTGTTAAACCGCGTCATATGGATAACAATCATTTTGTTTAGCTTCTAATGTTACAAATGGCAAAATGTTTATTGACTGAAATTTGTTCTAGTAGTATCCTCAGTGTCCCACTGTCAACACATTCGTCATGACCAAGTTATGAGCATATCGATGAGAATTTTCCTCAAATTGGCAGGTTTCAGACTATATTTTGTTCCTAGGGTAATTTTTGAAATCCATGTAAACTCATTGAGAATTTTTTTTATTTTATATATTAAACTCAACATGAGCTAAATTAATGCTCAGATCGTTATAGAATGTACCAGAGAGCATCAATTTTTTCAAAAATTTCCAAACATGTTTATACCAAAAATCATACAAACACGCACGCGCGCCCGTGTGCTCACGACCACGTCCGCTACCCGACTCCCCCTTACTCCCTCACTATATTTGAATTCTAGCCGTTACCCTGCCCATAAAGCTACCGAATCGGGCGATTCACACATAACCCTAGTGCCTCCCTGCCTGCTTATTCAATCACTAAAACTACAAATGCAGACATCAGGCTGCTTATTCCTATTGTTCCCGGCAAAGGGTTTGTTGTTTGAGTTTTACTCATAATAAATATACCAATTGTTATATGTGTATTTTTTATTACTTTGGTTTTTGTTATTGTGCATTTAAAGTCAATCATTTAACAGGACCAACAAATTTGACCCCCCCTTTTTCAAAAAGCTGGATCCGCCCCTGCATACACGCCCACACGAGCGCAAGTTATAATTGGACATGCGCATCACCTTTTCGAATACTACCCGTACGATTATGCGTATCAATCTCTTGACGTGGCAGGTGTAGCGCTATCACTATATCACTAACTTTTGAAGAAATGTTTGAAAGAAAACGCGTGTGAAGCTAAAGTTGCCTTTTTACATATACATAAACATACATATATATATATATATTTAAATATATATATATATATTTATATATATATATTTATATGTATATGTATAAAGGCAACTTTAGCTTCACACGCGTTTTCTTTCAAACATTTCTTCAAAAGTTGACCCGCTTTATATGCGGCTAACATGTTCATGGTAAATACATTATTGTTATGCAGCAGTTGATCTGGTTTACTCTTGGAATATATACCTTTTCCAGCGATCTGCTCCTATATTCCCCATTATGCAGGTTTTCATGCGAAGCGATGTATCCGACATTGACGAAGTCCGCGTTATTACCGAGTTTGCTCTCGCGTTTTTTCTTCCGCGAAAAGATTAAACTTTGGATCTTAGAACACTTGTTGTTGTCCGCGTTACAGCCGCCTTTCTCCTTCGCCTTCAAAGCTCCGAGTACCATCGCTGGCGAATTGAATCCAGTGGTCCGCCTCACGGGCATGTCGCTATGCCAGGCCATCACACCTCTCGTAACTGGTCGCCCGACGCCAGGAACCCGGTCCGACACTTCGGCGGGAAACGTCCCCGCTTGAGCACCGGAAGAGTGCGAGAACATGGCATGCAAGAGGGATCCGTCGCACTACCCTTTTAGTTTGCCTGTGTTGGTGTTCTCGCTGACACCTCGCATTGCGAGCCTAACCGACCGGTAGCGTCGATATCCTCATTTCCATTGCCTCGCAATCGTTCACTATAACGCCACGCGTTTCTCTGTTCGCACGTACACACTTATTCCTGTATAAAATAGTGTCCATATATGCAGGGCATCAGAAAGCTCCACATACTGCTCTTGATTCTAAACAAACGCTAAACCGATGTGCAGTACGTGCTAAACATCGATTACACGCGAGTGACGTACTGTGTAGGTAGCAGTAAAGACGTTACACGCATATAATTCCACCTGTAGCCACCACGTACAAGTCTCGCCGACTCAAGGTAGGCTATTCATGCACACGAACACTGCACCTCACGCAAACGCCCGTCTGTCTGCCTTAGCCGTCGCTACGACTGTACATCAAGCCAGCATTCGACGGCTACGCGTTGCCTTCTCGCGTCCATTTGCAACCAAAAACCAATTGAAAAACACGAGGTTGATTAGGGAGCCGCCACTAAGACGTGCACCCTGCTTTACCAAGGACGGAGTCTGCGCGTAAGTGTGGTGGGGGGCACGACCTGCCGGACTCGTTCTACAAGAACACACGGCGACATATAGTCAAAACAATCCTACTAACGCTTAACTAATAAGTTGCTGCCGCAGTTAACGATAACGATCGCACAATAGGTCCCAGGTCCAGGTGCTCGCAGCGTTGCAGTCGCTCGCATTGTCTCGTCCGGCTGGTGCAATGATACGTGAATACACGGCGATAAGAGATCAGGAAGAAAGAAACACGCGTGCTGTCAGATTTACGGTGTTTCCGAAGTGTCGGAGCAGCAATCAGACGGGCGACAGTAGCACTGTACTAGCAGCAACTTAATTTGCATCACACGTCTTGGTGGTTGCATATCGGCGGATCGACGCACGCTCGCCACGTCGCCCGTACGCGTGACGTCACCGCAGTCGTGCGTCAGCTCCGGCGGTTACGTGTCTAGCACGCGGTTACGTGTGGCACGGCGCGGCGCGTACTGCCCGCCCCGCTGCTGGGAGGAAACAAAGCTTCCGTGCAGACGTTGTTGGCTTTTTATCTTGCGGACGAAAAGGTGCTGCTTAGCGATCAGAGGCAGACGAGGGCTGCGTCTTGTGTCGGACAGCTTGTCTCGGTCGCCACTAAATGATCGCTTACGGGCTGGAAGGGGGTGAGAGGGTGGTGATGCGGACGATCACTTTCATTTCTACGCACATTCTTTTCCTATGTTTTTTTTTAAATATGTGCGTTATGTAGCGATTTCCTTGCGCGCGATCTTTTGTGTCATGATTGCTTTGCCACTTCGATCAGTTTCTTACATCATTCGTTCCATAACCATCACCCACCCATCTCTCTTTAACCTACCCTTCTGATGTTGCGAGTAGTGTCTCTACTAGCAGATAGGTCCGGCCGTAAATCGCGAGCAATATTGACTCTAGCGGTGGGAAGGTCGGAACAATGGCAGCGTAAGCTCGCGCAGATGGCTCTGCAGTGACGAGCCATCGCGAGATTTCCGAAAACATAATAAAGAATTCAGGACGCCGTGTTTACACATAGCGACTTGAGGCTTTGCGGCAAAAATAGAAGAATACACACAGGGTAGGATTGCTATAGCTCCTTCGACATTATAAATATGTACAGCTGCTATGCGTCAATCATTCCTGTGGGGATTCAGAGGTAATACATCATATCGGCCCATCCTGTATGACCGGCCATTCAGCGCTTACTCTCGTCTGTAGCCGTGAGTTAATCCGGCGCAACGCAGGGCAAAGACTCTTGCAGTAACCTCCAGTAAGATTTAAAATTTTTATAAAACGTACGAATCGTCAAAACTAACGTAATACAGTACGTATAACGTACATTATATATATATATATATATATATATATAGCAGAGAGAGAGAGAGAGAAAGAGAGAGAGATAAACAGAGAGGAAGAAACAGAGATGCGGTATATATTATTCGGAGGACGTTTACGCGATACGTGACGTTTTATTACCTTCGCGCGTGATTGTATCGTGAGTAACTGCATGCCACGCACGCGTCAATTAATCGATATCTCATCAATCGTCAATCACTAATCAATCATAATGTCATTGTTACTGGCGTACACAAGATGCCGTTGATGACGTCATCAGTGACGTTGTTGAGGTACTCACCTGACAGCCGGGGGATGCTGTGTTCTCGTAGAGAGCCAGTGGTTTCTCGGCTTCCACAGAGTAGCCCCCTGTTGGTTTCGGCGCCCGGTGGGCATGTGAAGGGGAAATTCCATTACCCTTTGCTTTCGTCTAGAAAAAAAAGTAAAAACATTACGCGCACTGAATAAATACATTCGCTCATTCTACATTTTAGTGTGTAATGTGTAAAAAGGACATATATTTAATCGCACGTGAGTAACATGTTTTAAGTGTTACAGTAAACTAACAATTTAAGATTTTAGTATGCAGTATAAAACGTGCAAAGTTTTGCTCATGCAAGTTATACAGGGTTCCCGTTCAGTTATTAATCTGTGTAAATACCACCAGCTAAATGCTATGAACACACGCGCTAGTGAACGACACTTATCAGAGAGGGTTAGCAGGATTAAACACACATAACACGTCAGCTATATAGACGCTCTTTAAAAAACGTGATATAGAACAAACAGAATATGGAGTCGCGAGGCCATGCAAGGGCCTGAGCCTCGTCGTACATTATTGTCTCAAAACACACACGCATATATCTATAGGCTTTTGCCCATCAGAGAGCAACGACCACAGGAGAATTGGTTCTTGTTTGCAAAGGCTATAAACCAAACGCAAACAAGGAGATGACTATTAAGGAACGATAAACTGTAGTTTGACTAGTTTTTGCAGGTTCGCCTTTGATATAGTGACACGCTGACTGAATTATCAGGCAAATACATGCAACGAAAAGACCGTACTTGAGTAATTAGCAACAACACATTCTTAGAGCTAACACGTTTCCTTTAGAACTAGAAAGTGGTATTTTCAATATATCATAGCTAAATTTCTATATAGGAATATGTTAATATCATGTTACTCTACCAGTTGCAATGTTCTACGACGTGTATTTTATGGTCTGAAATTGATTATTTTGAGGACAATGACGCCATTGATCGGCAAAGAAACACCTTTTCAATTACCTAAATAGCCCAACCTTTGTCGGATATATATATATATATATATATATATATATATATATATATATATATATATATGCATGCGTATGTGTGTGTGCGCGCGTACGTGCGTGCATGTGCGCGTGAGTGTGTACGTGCGTGCGTGTCTGTGCGTCTCTCTGTGTGTGAAATTAGTATCAATTTAATTCGCAATTATTTTAATCAGGCATTATAACACGATATATGGTGCAGCTAAACTATCCCCGGAACCTTTTCTAGTAAAATATATAACCGATGGGAGATATATGTAGCGTGTTAGAGACGTGGAGACGTTACATGTGTGGTACATACGTATATGTCACCGTTTCATTCATGAAGAAAATTACTCACGAGAACAGTATCACCTTTGACAGCCACGCGGAGGAAAACAATTGTTCGGATAGAGATTACAATTACGCTCGCATCTCACCGCCGGACCGGTGCTAACAGTGGATATTTGTCGGTCTTCGTTTTTGCAGATAATCGTCCACTTTAGCGCGCCGCTGGCTGCGAGGTTTTCACGTCGGATTTCCTGTAATTTCTACCGGCGAACAGACGTCCCATAAAGAAGATAGTGTGTGCTGGTTGAACCCCGTCGCTGTTCCGCGCATGCAGCAACGCGCTCCACCTGACACTACTTGGGATTTCTACTCAGTGCCAAATGGATAAATTGCATTATAAAGGAGACTCAGTGAGTTGCAACCGCTCCCTATAAGTACGGTAGAGGAAAATAGGCGTATAACTACGGCAGAAAAACGGGTAACGTTAAGCATCAATGACGCATACCTGGCATGAATTATCACCTCAAGGATTTTGGCCTGGGAAAGTGATGCGCTCTGTACATGACGAATAATATATTATTCCGTTTTGTGCAATCATATATAACGCATGTAGTTCCTTGGTCTACAGGCTTGCTTGCTTATATGCTTATTACTATACATAAGTAAATAACAAGTTTTTTTTTAATGAGAGTGAGCGGGAAAGTGGAGTAAGTGAGAGTGAATGGAGAGAGAGGGGGAAAGGAGAAAGAGTATATACTAAAAGATCAACGTTAACCCTCTACCCATGTGCAACCACTAGACCTACACGCGAAATTAACAGTGAACAACGCAGGTGGCCACGGATAGACCGCTAGAAGTTTTTAACCTAGCTGATCACAGAGTTTATTTCTTAATTACAACTGGTTTTTCTAGTTTAGAAATTTTGAAACCAAATTAATCCCCCACATTCATATCATAAAACATTGAATAGCACAAGCGGTGCCGCAGCCTTATCGGTTTGCCGCAAGAACACACCGCCGTGAGCAGAGAAAGTGGCTTTTTGTTGCGGGCAGTTACGACTGATATCACTGCCATGCTTCCATGGTCTAGACAGGATGCGAATGACAACAGAAGATGAGTAGGTCACCTGCGTTACAATGCCACGCGAAATTACGCTCACAAAAACGCATCAATAATTACGCTCCGTCATTTCCACGCTGGGCCTTTCTTTCTTTATCGCCGAGAGAGAACGAAGTAATAAGATGAAAGGAAAACACATCAGTGAGATTAGCAGCCGTCTCGCCGCGCATTCCGTCACGCGCTGGCCGCACGCGATTGTGTACGCGTCACTGTCTAAACATCACCCCACGACTCGATCCCTATATAATGTGTGCGTGCGTGTGTGTGTGTGTGTGTGTGTGTGTGTGTGTGTCGGTCGTGCGTGGTGCGTGCGTGCGATGGACGTGTACGATGCGTGTGTGTGTTGTGTGATTGCAAAACGTGAAGCAGCATCTAGTTTGTAGCGGTCGAAAGGGTTGAAGAGTGACACGTTGCCAATTCCCCACAGTGTCTGAGAAAGGAATAGAGTGATGTCATAATATATATATTGATATTATATAAAACTAGTTATACATATATAGATATAAGAGAAGAGTAGAAGAATAGAGAGAAGAGAGAGAAAGAAAGAGAGAGAGAAGAGAGAGAGAGCGAGAGAGAGAGAGAGAGAGAGAGAGAGAGAGAGAGAGAGAGAGAGAGAGAGAAGAGAGAGAAGAACGCATAGTTTCAATGCGCGTGTAATATGCCCATGCACTAAATGCACATTTTGCAATTTAGGTGAAAACAATATACGCGTTCATAGTCATATCAATATCAAGCCCTTCTTTATACGCTCTTGGTCATATCCATTATATATATATACTAGTGATGTCACGATCATCGATTATACTCGATCATCGGTTGAACAGGGCTCTGAACCAAGCGCTTGGTTAGAAAATCCATAATCGATTAATCGAAAAAAAAAAACTGGAAAAGTGATGAGAATCAGTACATGATTATACACACAGTAAAACAGTGCAAAAACAAACAGTAAACAGGGCTAAACAAGCACATACATCACACACGTACATGCGAACAACGTTACACACACGCAGGCATTCAACACCCCGAGTAACCGATGTGTAACCGATCATCGTTACTTGGGTCCAACCGATGATCGATTACGAAATTACAACCGATTGACAACACTAATATATACCTGTAATATATACCGCAAGTATCATTATGAACGTACCTGACAACTCGTTGTTGCTATCATGCTGAAGTAGCAAGCTCCATCAGTCTCTCCTCCACCGTCAGTGCCTGGTGGTGACAATTCACTCCAGGAGGCATCTGCAACGAGGCAAACTGATGTAGATAACCACGTCGCTTTGAACCCC